AACCCAAAATTAATAAGGTCTGTGTCATTTTCATTAATGTGCTGATTAATTTCTTAGAATAGTACTTGAGATATTGTTTGGAAAAGCCAAAATTATTACGCAAATTAGGTAATTAACATGCATAGAATTTTACCTAAAACTATTCAGGTCTGCAAATCTTTCCAAATCATCTATGTATCCAGTTTCAACATAATCTATTAAACCGTTCTTAAAATGTCAGTGGAACAGCTAAAAATTATCATGCAAATTAGGTAATTAATATGCACAGATTTAAACCAAAAACTAATCAACGAAATCCAATAAGACATTCAAACATACATACAGACGCAATAAACTGCAAAGACTCCCATTGTATGCTTCGCACACAGGAGTCAAAAACAATAATAGCAGAAATAATATGTATGAATACATAGGAGGAAGAGACATGCAAGGGTGTCAAACATGACGCAACATACACAAGAGGCATTTTTCCCCCTCAACAAAGCTGTAAGCGCTACCACATTGCGCTGTGCATTTCAAAATAGACTAGTTACAATGAGTATTATAAGTATCCTGGCCATAATTACACATCAAGTTCATTGTCTGTTCACATAATCAGTGAAAGGTAAGGAATATTGTATGTATCGTATCATTGCAAAAGGACCCCAAAAGCGTGGCTTGGAACAAAAATTAATCAGCAATGATCACTGCACAATAACCGTGAATTTGTTAGTATATGTCACAAGGTCCAAAAATTGAGAAGTAGGCATGCTAGTGGTTGAAAAAGCATGTGGATAACATGTATAAAATCAGAAATCGTGTTGGGTACAGTGGTCATGTAGTTTATTTGACACCCTTACAAACCTTTATAGGACTTACTCCAATTATTTGTTGGAAATGCATCATACACCAAGGCATCTGACAGCACCAATAAACCAGCATTCTAATTAGAGATAATAATTCAGATAAAATACAGTCATTATAATTGTGTCAAGAAATTTAAACAAGATATTAACCCACCTAAATATTTAACGATAAAATGTTCAAAATTCAAATGAATATTAAATTAAAATTGAAAAGCGATTATAAATTGATACATACTATATGCAATTTGAAAAAAAATTGGACTAATAAATTTCTGGGAATATCATTAATTAAAGATGTTAATGACAAAAACATTACCACACACATACATGTACAGTGGCGGATTTATTCAATTTGTTTTTGTATGATATAAAAAATTATTAACTTATCTGGCGATTTTAAAGTTTGGCCCTCCCGATAAGATGCAGATCCCCATGCATTAATCTATTATCATATCAGAAAGCGTGAATAAAAAGTAACCTTATTAACCTATTGAAACCACTGAAGCATATAGAGACAAAAAAAACTAACCACCAACTTACACTGAATAAAGATGCAGCATCATTTCCACCCGGTGACCAATAACCTGGCCATATCATTCTCTTGCTCCTCTTCAATGCAGATCTTTTCTTTCTTCTAAACATTATCATATCATTCATCGGCATTGGTCCACCACCACCCCATCCTAGTGTTTCTTCATCTTCATATGTCCTGATTTCATCAATTACCTGGAAGTGAATACACGTAGGACATTTAATTTACGTCAAAAAAATGGAACTAATAATAACAAGATATTTTCATATCATAAATAAGGATGGTGCATTTAAGCAAGGCAAGAGGGTATGGTGACTATACATAAATGACAAACCTGTTGCTGTGTAATGTCATTGCCGCCTCTCAATAACAATACACTTTGATCCACAGCTAGAATAGCAACATAGGAATTGGGGCTGGAGTTCACAACGATGTTCACTTCATCAGCCGGCAAGGCTTCATCTGTACTCAATTCTAAGGCAACCTAAAGTTGAAAAAGAAATAAGCAGTTTAAATAGTAATCAATATATGTAGCTAAAGGACACTTCACTGAAGTGTTTTGATACGAATGTGTTGATCAACAAATATTACACCACAAAGATCTTAGAGCAGGATGTTCACAAGTAAACGTTTGAAGAAATTGGACTCCACAATAGAGACGATATCTGAGTGATATTACACAGGTGAAAGATCTATGTAATAAATATGACAAGACATGAATGTCACAGTCCCCGTCATTTAATTATAAAATACTCATGTTAAAATAATACATGGCACATCTGCAAACAGTTGAATTAATATGTACTATATGTGGGTCCAACTCATCATAAAGTGATTTTCCTTAATCTAGCATTGTACTGATAACTGGTATGGTACAATCCATTTATCCACTAGCCCTTACAACTGAAGCTATATTTAGATCACATGTGTCAATGTGCCTGGGCAAGATTTATACACAGTAACTGCAAAGTGTTTTCACTGATCTTCAACTTTGTAGGTACATGTATTTCAGTGATGGCTCTTAATAATGGAATGCAATTTTTACAGTTTAAAGATATAATATACAACATTTCTGACCACTTTTTTCAAGATTTCAGCATTAATTTTTCATAAAACAAAACAAAAACCAGACTGTGGTCCATTTCCGTCACAGATTCAGATCAAGGTTA